GCATCTGAAAAGAATTTACAAACTCTAAAACAACTGAGAGTGGGATTAAACCCATAAAACATGGGGCGTCCATCACAAAAATCATGAACACTTCTCCCTATCTTTGAGGACTCTTATTAACTTTCAATACTCATTCCAGGATGAAATCCTTCCCAGAAATTTCACAAGAAAACTCACTCAAGTGGGTTCTTTTATGGAGATTAAGATAACTTTTTCGAGGAAAAACCTTTCCCACATATAGTGCAAACAAAAGGTTTCTCACCCTAGTGGGTTCTTTTATGGGTCTCAAGTTTACTTTTTACAGAAAAACCTTTCCCACATATATTGCACAGAAAAGGTTTCTCACGTGAGTGGGTTCTTTTATGGCAAGTAAAGTTTCCTTTTTGAGAAAAAGCTTTTCCACATATATTGCACACAAAAGGTTTCTCACCTGAGTGGGTTCTTTTATGGATATCAAGATGACTTTTTAAAGAAAAAGCTTTCCCACATATAGTGCAAACAAAAAGTTTCTCACCCGAGTGGGTTCTCTTATGGATATCAAGATTACCTTTTAAAGAAAAACCTTTCCCACATATAATGCACACAAAAGGTGTCTCACCTGAGTGGGTTCTTTTATGGTAAGTAAGGTTTCCTTGTTTAGAAAAACCTTTCCCACATATATTGCACAGAAAGGGTTTCTCACCTGAGTGGGTTCTTTCATGGGCATCTAGAGAACTTTTTTGAGAAAAACCTTTCCCACATATAGTGCACACAAAAGGTTTCACACCTGAGTGAGTTCTTTTATGGAGAGTAAGGTTTCCTTTTTGAGAATAACCCTTCCCACATATAGTGCACACAAAAGGTTTCTCAACTGAGTGGGTTCTTTTATGGATATCAAGATAACTTTTTACAAAAAAACCTTTCCCGCAAATAGTGCACACAAAAGGTCTCTCACCTGAGTGGGTTCTTTTATGGACAATAAGAGAACCTTTTTGAGAAAAACCTTTCCCACATGTAGTGCACACA